GACTTCGCAAAAATACATGAGAAACAACTAGATTATGGGTAGTGTTTACTATACTATGATATACATTTATATATACATAAAATATTAATGTTTTCTTCATTTTTACATACTTTATCTCCCTGCTGAGCTTAATCTTCTATATACCTCCTGGTTGAGTTCGAACAACCCAACATTTAGTCTGAAATGACCATTTATGTAAATTCAAACTCAAATTCCATGAACGATCCGATGCAACCACTTGAAAACGCTGGCCAACATTCTGTACAAGGAGTATTCTTGATCTGAAATAAAGAAGCAACTGGTTTTCAAACAGTTATCAATGTATTACTCAACTTACATGTACAGTCTGCCATGCTGACGCAAATGGCGCAAATGGATAGTTCTAGAATTGACCTCATTTGATGCACTAAAACAATCTAACATTACCTTATCTAATTTTCGTATCAAAGATCAAATTTCTTTCCTACTATAAAACTACGATAAGACTGCTGACAAAAATGGAATAAATACATTATTGAATCAAAATAATACATCAATAAACTTTATCTCACGGATGCTGTTCACAACAAAGTCTTATAGGAGAATTGACTTCAAGCTTTATTTTTCCCAGATATTTGTATCACATTCATCTGAAGTCTGGGTTTTTTGTTAATGCGAAGACAATATTTCTATATCTCTTTATGTGTTACACAGACAGACTATTTTGCAGACTGTTCTGACTGACTCTAATGTTAGATTGAACAAACAAACTGTAATTTATATAATAACTTATCCATGCCTGTACAATTGGTATGTCCCTGCATAAACAGGAATAAATATATATAAGCACAGAAATGTGCGAGGACCGAACCTAAATCCGCGGTCAGTCGATCAAACTGCGTTAATGTACCAGACTGTAGCAGCAGTCTGCTGGAAAACAGGGCCCTGTTTGATCAAGAACAGTGGTCCAACTTATGTAGCACACTGGGTCTGGACATCCAACCAGTAAAACTGTGCACATTGTATAAGGGCACTGCTGCTCCTCAAGGCAAACCATCCCCACTGAGGGTAACACTAGGCTCTGCCGAAGATGCCGAAAAAGTTTTATTGACTTCCCAAGTCCTTTCTATAGGGAGGACCTGCAATATACGTGTTAGGCCAGATAGGCCATGGAAGGAAAGACAGATGGCGAGGGAGTCGCCAGAGCTTATTCCTTCTGCCTCCATGGTTGTTCACGGCATTCCCGAACTGGAAACTGGGAACGCTTGTGAGAAGCACTGTCACGATGTCCAGCAATGGAGATGGTTGGCATCCCAGATGGGTCTGGGAAGTTCAGGGGCTGTCTCTATTTTTAGACCGCCTCGACCCACTCACCTAATGTCAATTAACACCCCACGTCTGTTAGCTGTTAAGTTTAGCTCCCGAGACCACTTGACTACTGCTCTCCAGAGATGGTACGAGACCAAAGACAAGGTCAGCAGACACATTCGCTGCTGCGAGAGCCGGCCTCGTACCCAAAGGAGAGAGCAAAACGTTGTCATAGAACATCCCCAACCCCTAGTCACAATACAGCGGTGCAGCACGGACGATGATAGTCAGTGTCATCCAAGTGCTCCGATTGAATCAGAAGAAAAAACGCCAACAGGCCGGTTCCCGGGGAATCGGCCAACTAGTTCGTAGGATAACTCCTCAACCGACAGCCCACATCACGTCAACCACCCCCCAACACGGGGACGTGGTGAGACTGACTACCAGTTGCCTGTACAGTAATGTGAGAGGTCTAAGAGGCAAAATAGCCGAACTTAGGTACCTACAATCACAGCTGAACTCCAAAATCATAATACTGACGGAAACCTGGCTAACCCCTACGGTGGCAGACAGCGAAGTCAGTATAAATGATATGGTCCTTGTCAGGCGAGATAGGGGTCTGAAAGAAGGAGGTGGAGTCGCCATATACGTCGACAAACAGCTCAGATGTGTCCATGCAATCGACCCTCCCCTCATTGAGCTCCCTGACTCCGTATGGTGCCATTTCACCGTTGGGTACTGTAAGTATCTAGTGGGCAGCATTTACAGATCACCTTCATGTGGAGCAGACCACAACCAGGTACTGCTGAATGCAATTTCAGCGACACATGACATGGGTTATGATCAAATTGTCGTAGCTGGAGACTTCAGTGCCCCAACTTGATGACGGGATGTGCCCGGGACAGATTTGATCGAAATCTGCTGCATACCATCACGGAGGCCGGATTCACCGAAAATGTCAGAATGGATACTAGATGGGGCCCAGATGGGAAGTCTTCTAGACTGGATTACGTGCTCACTAGTGACCAGCTACTAGTGGAAAACGTTCAGATCACGACTCCCATAGGTGGTAGTGACCACGCGGTCATAACATTCGACATAGTCCTCCGCGAGCGTTTACAGTGGGACAATACACAGCCCTATCTGTGTTATAACAAAGCCAATTACACCGAAATGCGAAGACTTTTGTCTGAAGCAAATTGGCCAAAAAATTGGACAGAGCTTACAGTAGAAGAACACTGGAGAGTGGTAAAGGAGATCATTCACCAGGCGATCTCAGACACTGTTCCTTTGGTCACACCTAAAGCTAGAAAGCAACGTTCATGGCTAAAAAGGGGGACACAACGCCTTCTACAGGCGAAGCGAAAAGCCTGGTTTGCGTGGCGAGTATCGCAGAGTCAACCCGAACATGAAGAGTACCTCGAACTCAGGAATCGGTGTAACATACGAGTCCGGAGTGATAGAAGGACATTTCAGAGAAACCTCGCCAATAAGCTTCTCGTGAACCCCAAAAGCCTATACAGGTTTATGTCTGAAAGAAAACCGACCAACCAGGGAGCTTGTAATATAGTGGGTTCTGATGGGAAATCTCTTACTAATCTTGAAATGGCAGAGACATTCAGTCTAGCCTTTCACAGGCAACTGAACAGTAACGAGGATTTTACCCCCACAAAACATCAAGATTACAATGCAAGACCAACGTGCGAAAACCTGCTGGGTACATTTCAAATTACCCCGGCTATGGTACTCGTAAAATTGGGAAAGTTGGCTTCGGGAAAGTCTGCAGGTTGCGACGACATAAGACCATCCGTCCTGAAGCAGTGTTCAGAAAGTCTCTGCCAACCCCTAAGCGATCTGTTTCAACACTCCTTTGATGTAGGGAAACTTCCATGTGAGTGGAAACGAGCCATCCTATCCCCTATCTTCAAGGGTGGTGACCGGCAGAACGCGACCAGTTACAGACCAGTTGCGCTACTCCCAGTGATATCGAAGATATTGGAAAGTCTCATTGACGACCACATGAGAAAGTACTTCGACGGGACTAACCTACTCCATGAAGCACAGCACGGTTTCAGGAGGGGAAGATCCTGTGTGACGAATCTTCTACTAGCTTGGAACGATTGGACACTATCCTGGGATGTAAAGGTACCAGTCCATGTGATCTTTCTCGACTTTGCGAAAGCATTCGACACAGTTCACCATGGTCTGCTCCTTCACAAAATAAGCGAAGCGGGTGTTTCTGGAGCACTTCTCGCATGGCTGGAAGATTATTTAGGCGAGAGAGAATTCTGCACCAAAGTCAACCGCATCCGATCATCCTGGCACACCTCGGCACCAGGGGTTCCTCAGGGTTCTATCTTAGGGCCGTTGATGTTTTTGATTTTTATCAATGACCTGCCCTATCAACTGAATTGCTCTGCGCTTCTTTACGCTGACGACGTAAAGATTTGGAGAGCAATAAACTCATCGGAAGACTGTGACAGATTGCAGGCTGACCTGCAAACGCTGGGGGACTGGGCTCTGGCTAACGGAATGCCTTTCAACTTAAAGAAGTGCAAAGTAGTGCAACTTCATTCCGGCAGGTCACAGAGTGCAAATTACACCCTTGGTGGCCAGAACTTGAGTTGTGTGCCATCAGAACGCGATCTAGGCCTTATTTTAACAGAAAAGCTAGACACCAGTGTAAATTACACGAGGGACGTCGCCAAAGCTTACGCCACTTTCCACTTTATGCATAGGCAGCTGGGAGCTCTTACTCCCGAACTATTCCTAACGTTGTATACGACATACGTGAGGCCACTCCTTGAGGTGCATAATATCATTGCTCCTCCGCTACTCAAAAGGGATGCTAACATGCTAGAAAGTGCCCAGAGACGAGCGACAAAATGGGTGATCGGCCTCCGCAACAAATCGTATGAGGAGAGACTGAAGAAATTAAGTCTTTTCACACTTAGTTACCGTAGTCACAGGGGGGACCTCATCACCGTCTATAAGATCCTAAATGACCAGGCCCATCCTAATAAGAGCATCCTGCCATTAAGTGATTACAGGCTTCCACGAGGTAACCCGCTAAGGATAGCACACCAGAGACCAAGGACTCGAGTGCGTTCACATTTCTTCTCGCTTCGAGTTTGCCGTCTCTGGAACGCTTTACCGGCGGCCGTAACTACAGCTCCATCTGTGGAGACTTTTAAGCGGAAGCCGGACAATCATGCAGAAATGCATGGTTTGTGTCTCAATGGCTTACCCTCTTAAAATTTGAAACCACATTGTCAATGGATAAGCATACAAGCTAAATCTCCACGACCCGTCCTGTCTTCTCCCACTGTACCGACTATTCTATCTTTTCTTTCTTTCTTTATTATTTCACTTATCTCAACCTATATTATCTACACTACAACCTATTATCATTATTATTATTATTACTCTACTTTTATGACTATACCGAATGACCAACGGGTGTTAGGTCAAACTCCATTCACGGCAGCAGCTGAGTCCTAACATACTGCACACTACAAACCACAATCTTGACCAATCCTCGCACCACTCCTCTTGGAGTCTACCAGAGCTAAAGCAGTCGAGTGGCGGGATTTGCTACGCATAAGTTCACCGAAGATCTGGAACCTCTACCTTAAAATCAAGAAGCGAGCTCAAAGAAATCACTGGTTTATACTAGCTCGTAATCAGGATATTGGATATTGGATAGTCTGAGGGGCTATTTCACTACATACGTTACTTTTTGTGTCTTCGCATGCGAATGGCCCTGAATTAGTTGTCGGTATGTTTGAGGCCATTTGCTTATGCTTTTTTAAAGTATTAAAATTCTGAAAAATATTTCACTCAGAGCTGAATAGCAGTTGCTACAAATAATTTTTCGGGACATGGGTAAATGGGGGAAAAAGTGGCCAATATGGGTAAAGTAGGTTAATTATGTAGCATTCTAACCCCCTTTTGCCCACGTCTTTGCTGATCAAAATAACCCGTTTAGCCTACGTTTTGCCCAGGTGCATTCTCTAACTGGAAACCTTCGACAATACGTCGCTGGGACTAGTTTGTTACTGACGTAACCTTCCACTGCTTTCTGATAGTGGATATAGTAAACGTGATGTATGCAAATAATTTTGTGTAGGTGAGGTGCAGGCAAGTCGTTTTGAAAATTGTCTAAAATTCTATGGTACACGTAGGTTAACAAGTCTTCTGAGTTATAATGACACCTTAAGTTCCCTTCATTGCAGCGGACATCCCGTATTTGTTGGTTGTCTGAATTAAGTGGTGATTAAGTATGATTCAACCTAGGCATTAAATGTACCAGTTACAGGTGCTGTCAATGTACATTTGAATAAAAGTTATGAATTCTTGGGAGTTTAATTTTTGAAGAATTCACATAGTACTACTTTAACTGTCTTATGGGCAACCAGGTTTTCTTAATAAGTATGACGTTCTTTTTCTTATTATGCACTGTAACCATGTATTTTCCAGTTATCGGTAAAAATACAGAAACAATTATGGGATGCCTAATTTGAATACCGAAGCAATTTCTTTAAAGGAATCGTAGAGTGATGGGCTCTACCAACTATAGTGATGATTGCTAGAGTCTGTAGTTGAATGAAATTGAATAATACTATAAACCGCCGGGTAAAACTCCATTGTTTTATTCAATTTAGTAACAGCAATGACCAATGGCCAATGCCTGAGCCATATGCCAGTAAATACCTTAATTCATTATGTCAATAACTCATCACTGTCCTTAAACACCTCTTGAACATTAAAATTACCTACTCAGATGATTATATCTGAGCGTTTAGCTTTTAGCTGCAACCTAGGTGGCTTCTGATAAAACCTCAAGTAGTGGACACTTACCCCTTTTGAAAATTGTAGCAGTTAGTAGAGAACACTACCACTGTAAAAAAAGTAAAACTTCTTTAGAAGTACCAGTCATATAATGGCCTTCGTCAAAGACCGTTGTTTACAGTCGCATTGCTGTACTTATGGACTCTGGATGTTTTTCAGGATAATTGTTAATATATGTATCTATTGGTGTTCGCTACCTTGTTTAACGTGTGAATCTCAACCACTGTACCAGGGGTCACGCTGATGCTGCTTATTGCTGTGATTGTATTTAGAGTTATCCACTCGCAATATTTTTGAGTATATCTCAAAATAGTATGTGCCTTCAGTGAGAAACGATAACTGACCTAAAAGGTGTAATCCTTAAAGAAATGAATTAGTGCATTCGTGAAAAACTTGTCTTCAACTAATAGTAATTGTTTACCTTACACAGTCTTATCAGTATACAACTACATAGATTTTCAACCATTTTACATAAAAATGGTGCAACTCATTATTGGTCACCTATAAAACACGGAAATAAACTTGTCTATTGGGGGGGGGGGGGGGAGGTCGGGCTTGAACACCGCAATGACCCAACAAGCTATACTGGCTGGAACTTATGTTCCTGCAGGTCTTACCATGCCAGAAAGGTTGTTTGGATAGCGGTTAGACTAAAAGCAGTTACCCAATCCAATCCTATGACTTCAAACAAATCACAAAATATCATGCCGGATCGGTCGGGGCCCGGATTAACAACGACCGCGCTTTCTGCTGCCGTGTCACAGGGCAGAAGTGATAAATACGCTACTGAGACACACCAAATAAAAAAGAACGAACAAAAACAGACCGTGTTTGACCGGCCTCAAGCAGTTGTCCCTTGGGCTCTGCGGTCACGCAACCAACTTCCACGGTGTGGGCAGCCGGGAAGTAACAATCGCCCTCACAACAACCCGAAGAGCAGCAGCAAGGGGGGGAGGTAGGATATGGACCCTTGAAAAGATACCTAGGTCTGCATTCAAGGGTATGTGTTAATATTACTATCGGATTAAATTTGGTAATCGGTAATGGTGACCGACGTCTATGTTGCTGAGCTCAAAAAAAAGTGGATCTGGTCTAATTAACTGCTATACGATATATATATTCTTGACAGGTAGTTTGGTATTATGCGGAAACTCCATTATTGCTTACGAGTCAAATTGAATTGTAGTAAAATTGGACAGCCCTTTCGTTCATTTGTGGTCAAACTCGTGATGGATGTATCAAAATTGATTCATCTGAAGGGGGTCCATATTTCAGACTACACAAGTTTTGCTAAGCTACTGAAGTGAAATCGCGATGAAATAACGCTGTTTATTGTTAAAACCGTCAATTACAACAGATTCACGGCTACATCCTAATGGAATTCCGTGGGAGTGCATCTTTGCTCAGATATTAAGACTTTCCATAGTCCAGTTTTGCAATGTGTTAATTAGAAACAGTAACTTTCTGTGCATATATGAGAAGGGGATAAATTTCTTTCTTTATGGATCCTTTCACGAACGAATATCAGTCAGAAGTCACTGAAAACCAGGGCAACTGGATAGCTGTTTCGTTCTAGTTTGGGGCTATTCAGCAATGCACATCAGAGACCTTCGGGTTACGAGGCGAAGCTTGTTGATCATTCAGTCACTTGCGCCAGGATTCAGTGATTCTAACCTTGTCTTTTTTGATGTAGCGCTGCTCAACCGACACTTTCGGCAAGCGAACACTTCACCTTTAAATGGTGAACGAATTCAACATTGTAATCAATCTAAATCTTTACAAAAATCCATAACCGAAATAGATTTCTATATATAATCGTTCACAGTGATTTTTATTCAATGGACTGAAGGCCAATTCAAAGTAGTTTCTTATTTCAACGAGACAGTATATTATCATAAGTTTGGGTAACTCAAACGTGAGGAGTGTATTTATCAAAACTGATCATCTCGTTGTCATTAGTTGTTACTTTTCTTCTCGGTTTGGTACTCAAACCTCGTAATCTTGGTCATTGTAACCTTTTTTTTCCGACTCAGCAGTGATATATGTTTAGGCAGATTTTTTTGCACTTTGTTAATATTAAGCGTGAGGCTTAGGTGTAATTTTATCTTTTTTTTATTCCTCCACGTTCCTAGTGGAACATAAGACCTCAAGCTAAAGGCGTGAAGTTCCGGTAAGAGTGGTGTTTAATTTTATGGGATGGGGGTTGCTAGCCTCATGCACAACCTTTCCTCTTTACTAGCTTTACACCTGGCTTAGCGAGGTAAAGGAGTGCCTTGTCGGCCGGGGATCGAACTCCGGACCTTGCAAATGGTCGGCGAGCGTACTAACCGCTCTGCCACCTACGTGACTTTATATCTAAGAATTTGATATAGTTATTGTGTATTTATCTTCTTATAGTTCACTGCCTTTTAAGTTTAAATTTCCTTACCAATCTAGGAGTACCATTTAAGAAGGTTGTACTCAATGAATTCATCTACAGAACACTTGTGTGATCCAGCTGCAGAAGAAGAATTTCAAGTTCTCTCTGCAATCTATACTGATGAGCTTTTTATTCTTGAACCGGAAAACAAGTAAATTTCTATTGATGAACAATTTTTTTGAAGAATTATAATAGAATCTATGAAATTTGGATTCGTCCAGACGCTGAGCATATTTCAAAAGAGAAAAAAATTATCCTAAAATTTCAGTATGTTGATGGATATCCTTCATGCAATCCATTAAAATATGAGTTCGTACTTTAGTGTGTTAGTGATCAGTATATTTTACAGATTACATGCACCATGGCTTAAATATGATATTCTTAATGATTTGGAGAAACAGTTGGATAAAATCACCGCATCTTCTCTTGGTTCACCTGTTGTACACCTACTAGTTGAATGTATTCGATCATTTATGTTGACAAATTTACCTTCATGTAATGAAAAATCAACTGATTGTGAAGTTAAAGCAGCAGCGGCACCACCACCACCGAAATCATCACAGTCTGTTTCAGAGTCAAATAGTCATCAATTGAGTACAGTTGTATCAGTGCCTTCAGTTAAATCGCATCTTGATATATCACCTCAAATTTTACCATTTGCTTCAAATTCTAAAGTACCAAAAATTTATCATGGTGAACCATTTGTAGATCGTAAAAGTATTTTTCAGGTAAACTTCTAATTTTTAACGTGAACTTTAATTATATTTTCTTTTTTTTGATGTTGTGTAATAACAGTAATAGCTGAAGTCAAATCGGAATCTGGTATCATATCACTTTATATAAAGACTTTCACTGTTGGTTTAATCCAGCCATGTAGGGAGGTGTAAACTGCCTGGTTAGGATCCTTAGGATGTTGAGAAGCAATGGCTGGAGACTGTTGATGGTATAATTCAAAATTGCCGTCAGCGTATTATTATTATTGTTCCCTTGGGTTCCTAGTGGAACATAGGGCTTCAACTGCATGTCTCCACTTGCTTCTGTCTTCTGCTGTACTTTTCACTTGTATCCATATTAGTCCATACTGTTTCAACTCTTATTCACACGATCTCCTCCATGTCACCCTTGGACGTCCCACTCACCGCTTCCCTTTCGGGTTCCACTCGAGCGTTGGCCTGACGTGCGATGTCACCCAGCGGCCTCCTTAGCGAGTGTCCAATCCATCTCTACTTTCTACTGCATATTTGTTGGGCGATTGGTTCTTGCTTTGTTTGTTCCCATAGTTTCTTGTTGGTGATTCTTTCCGGCCATCTTACCTTGACTATAGAACGAAGACAGTTGTTGATAAAGGTCTGCAACAGGCTGTTGGAAATATTCTTTGTGACCCACCAAGTTTATGATCCGTATAGAAGAACTGACTTGACGTTTGTATTGAAAATCCGAATATTGTTGTTGATGCTGAGTGACGAAGATTTCCAGATTGGTTTCAGGTTGATGAATGTGTTTCTCGCCTTCCCGTCGTCAGTGGCACGGTTAGTATTCTTTCTCCTGTACACTTCTGATCATTGTAGTTCTTTTGAATTTGTTTTTTCTTTCCCTTTGTGTGTATTGCATGGAGTTTGGCAACTTGAACTTCTGTATTTCTGTGTAAAGTTGTATTATGAAACTCAGTAACCTACTGTCATTACATAGATGTATATTTGAACCGTCTTAGACAGATCATTACCAGGTATGAGTCTGCAGATAATCATCCTGAAAAGTTGTTTCTACTGATTATTATTATTCCCTTGGGTTCCGAATGGAATATAAGGCTTCAACAACACGTCTCCACTTTGTTCTGTTTCCTGCCGTCCTCTTCACCTGGGTCCACGATTGACAATAATCTCTCATCTCCTCTTCGCATGACCTCCTCAATATCGTCACCCTCTCACCAACGACCCACTCGTCGCTTCCCATTGGGATTCCACTGGAACAATGGCTTGCACTGCGCGCGAAGTCATTCGATGGCCTCCTCAACGTATGCCCGATCAATCCATCTCCATTTTCTTCTACATATTTGTTGAGCGATCGGCTCTTGGTTGGTCTTTTTTACTGCAGGGTTTCTTGATGCTAATTGTTTCTGGCCGGCCGGTCAGCTGGTCATTTGATGTTCAGTATGGAGCCAGTCAGTGAAGGTAGCAGCTGTTGATAAAAGTCTGCAGTGACCTGTTGGGAGTCTTTTTTCATGACGCGAGTGCAGTGCAAGTTTCTGACCTGTATAGAAGGACTGACTTCATAGTTGTGTTGGAAATCCGAATCTGCTTTTACTGAACTTAAACTTATTTTTATGTTGAACCACTATAAATAGTGTTTGTTTTCAAAATTCTGATAGATTGGTACTTGTGAGGATTTGGACCATTATTGCGGAATAACAACAGGTCAGGTTTTTTTGTCTAAAAACATTCTGAATAATGTAACACCTGTATTTATATATTGTATTTAATACAATATTTTTTGATTCTGAACATTTTATAGGCTCATTGTGCTTATGTTTCAACGCTTGGTGAGGTCTCTCTTTTTATATCCACCCTGGTTATGGATAAAAAGATAGCTACAGCTACGCATAATATATTAGCTTGGCGTATTTCATCAAAAGAAGCTGATTGTGATGATGATGGAGAAACGCATGCAGGCAGTCGACTGTTACATTTGCTTACATTGTCAGGTGTGGAAAATGTTGCCGTTATGGTAAGTGCTCATCATTGTTGTTTTTCATTTTGACAATGTTCTAAATTGTGGAAGTTGCCTTGTCTTGTGTATTATTATTATCCGCTTAGGTTTCGAGTGGAACACTGAGCTTCAGCAGGGCATCTTCATTTTACTCTCTTCAGTGCACTCCTTTTTAGCTGGCTCCGTGATTGCTGAAAGCTTCCATTTTCTTCCCACACGATCTCCTCCATATCACCTTCGGACTTTCAGTGGTCTCCTCAGTGGAGTGTGTTCAGTTCATTTCCATTTCTTGCTGCATACTTCTTGGGAAGTAGGCTGTTGGTGGGTTCGCTAACAGAGTTCTGTGTTGCTAATGCCTTCTGACCCTTCATCTGATCTATAGTATCGAATCAGCAAAGGCAGGTGTTGGTGAAAGTCTGCAGCCTGTTGGAAACGCTCCCCATGACGTACGCGCCGAGTCTTTGAGCTGTATAGAAGCACTGACTTGACATCAATGTCCAAAATCCGTCGATCTTCACTCTGATTTCAGGTCAATGAAGGTTCAGTTTGCTTTTTTGCTTGTGCCTTTGATATCTTCATCTGTGTCTACTGTAGTTGAAACGACGCTGTCTAGGTAAATAAAAAAAGTGATCTCTTGCAGATTTCCCCCGTTGATGGTAATGGTTGTCTGTCTGCTCTGTGTTCACTTTCAGTCCTGCTTCTTCTGCCAACTTGTTGGTATTCTCCAGTAGATCTTCGAATTTATTTGACACTAAACATAAGTCACCCACAAAGTGCAAATCTCCCAAAGTTTTACCGGCCCATGTATTCATTTCTTCGCGTTCCCCACGGCCTGCAATATGATCCAGTCTACCAGAATTAGGAATATCATCGATGACAGTAGGCAGCCTTGTTTTACTCCTGCTGTCACTTTAAAGGCTTCGCTGAGCTCTCCTCTGTGGATCACTAAACGAATGGCATCATCATATCGTTATTGAATGGGATTGATAAAAGTTTGAGGCACTGCGTATTGTTGAGATAGTTTCCAAAGTACTTCGCGTTCAACGTCGTCGAAGGCCTTTGCAAAGTCCATAAAGTTGAGATAGAGATTTGCCCCCCATTTTATGCTCTGTTTGATGATATTGCTTAGCGTTGCAATTTGTTCCGCACATCGTCGGTCGGTCGGTCGGTTTTCGACATAGAACTTTGCACATATGTGCGCCAGTTCAAGTCGCCACACTCCCTCCATGTAGCACACAAAGCAAGAGAAGAAAGTATGAGAAATGCATAATAATATAGACAGCAAACAGAGGTGTGAGACAAAGGAATAGTAATAACGAAGAACAAAACAGTTTCATTGGAAATCATGTCACAAGGAGTGGATGCATCTGCACTAGCCATTGAGAACGATTTTGAGCCATATCACCAATTGTTTCCAACCATTGGTTTTTACCGTCCCGAGGACCCCAACTAGTCAGGAAGTCTACATCTTCCTACGTGGCTTAGACTAACTGCTGTAGATTTCATTGACTGGTGCCATGTTTTGGTGAGACCACCACTGGCTGTTTCCCAGCCTGACCCTATATCAGCTAACATTGCCCGTTGTCGAGGAAGGCGATGACTAGGCATACGTAACACATGTCCTAACCATCTCAGTCGATGTAATTTCACAGTCTCGTCTGTTCCGCACATGATAAGCTTTTCTCTGAATCCAACTATGGGGTGAGATGTGATCAGGTAGATTGTAACACTATTTCGTTGCTTGCGTGTGTGTGTGATATACCCAATAAACAAATGAATATGGAACTACACACTTCCAACAGCCTCCAAGCTCTTAATTACTCTTCCTCCACTGCTTTACTTTAGTCGATGTTCCTCAAGACTCTGTTCACTCTTCTTTTCTGTTTTCTTCCTTCTTATATGACTTGCCTCATTCTGATGAAGCCAATTTCGTTAAGTATACCGATAATGTGACTTTCCACACCGGTTGCTTCTCAATCAGATTGTTCTGAAATTAGTCACTGGTTCTTGTCAAATAGTCTAAGTTAAATGTCCCTACAAATGTCAGGTTGTTAACTTCAATTTGAGACACAAGTGCGCCTTACATGACTACTGACTGACTGGTTTCAACGTAGAACTTTGCGACGATGTGCAGTAGTTTGAGTCGCCACACTACACTTAGCACACAAAGGCAGAGAAGAAGAAGAAGAAGAAAGTAAAAAGAGATGCAAAATAGAAACAGTAAATAGGGATATGAGACAAAAACAATAGTAATAACGAAGAACAATAGAGTCTTATTGGATATTATAAGCCACAAGGAGTGTATGCATCTGCGCCAGGTATCACGAAGAACAATTTTGAGCCAGCCATATCACCAATTGTTTCCAACCATTGGTTTTTACCGTCCTGAGGACTCCAACCAGGAAGTCTACACCTTTCTACGTGGCTGCAACTAACTGTTGTGGATTTCATTGACGTCTTACTCACAGCCATAAAGGAGGAAGACAGAGCGAATTGCTGAGCAGTAAATACTCCCTTTCAACCTACATGAACTGATTCGTTTCCATGATTCTAGTCTCATAGATGGCACCGAAGTTGGAACTAAGTCGAATGTTAAATACCTTGGACTATGTCTTTTCTTTGATCTCTCCTGGTCTTCTCACATAATGTTTGTTTCTAGAACGATATTTCGTCTGACTCCTTCCACGTAAGGAAGTTAAGACGATATGGTATCACACAGTCTTTACTTTCACAACTTCTTAATTCTTGTATGCTACCTATCCTTCTCTAATGCTGCCTCTGATTGTTTCTTGGGCTAATTAAGAAAGACTTTGTTAAACTATGAATGGCACTAAAAGCTGTCAGTAGGGCGCGTAGGCTGTCGATAAACCAACCTTTTAAAGCTGTTGTAGGTAGACACTCGAACTCATGCAAGAAATTGACGAGTAGCATCTTCTTGGACCGTGAGCATCCTCTCTATACACATTTCTTCTATTGCATTTTATCAAGTTGAACTGAAAGCAACTATAGAAAACGTTATGCTCGGACGACTAAGTATAAAAACTCTGCGATACAATGGGTTAGAATAGAAGTAACCTAGAAGGTGTGAAAACACACAAAAACAACCAATCACGTCCAAGGTCACCAGGAGAGATGATTAGTAAACTCGTGGAGAAATCTAAAAGCTCACTTCAAATTGAAGTATGCGCTGAAGATGTCGCCTAGTAGGGCGATGAAAGCTTCGCAAATTAACTATCCAGCTCAAAGAACACAACCCTATCAAAATCTGCGATGCCTTATTTGGCAAGCATTTAATATCATGAGAAAACTCTGTTAGGTATGAAATAACTAATTTACTGTGGGATACTACGTAGAAAACCCTTTTTATTCTTTCATTAATATATTGTTATCGGCGTCTGTTGTACAGCAGTAGAATGCTCGCCAACCACGCATGTGGTTCGGGATTCGATCCCCGGATACCGACGAGGCACTCCTTTACCTCTCCAAACCAGTACCAAGACTGGTAAAAGGGAAGGTTGGGTATGAGGCTGGCTAGCAACCCCATCCTCCCGTAGAAATAAACACCACTGCTACAGAAACCTCAAGCCTCTAGCTTGAAGCCCTTTGTTTCCCTGGGAACGTAAAGGAATAAAATTAAAAACTAATGTTGTTATCTCTATTTCTGTATTGCATGCTAAAAATTCCACATTGTATCACACATAATGATTGGAATAAGGTCATTGTTATTCTCTTTTCTTTTTTTTTCTTAGGTAAGTCGTTGGTTTGGCGGTATTCAACTCGGTCCTGATCGATTTAAGCATATAAATAATGTTGCTCGTCTCTTGTTAACTGAACACAAATTCATCGGGATGAATTCCAGTAAAAGTCCTAGTGATGAACACCAGCAACAGAATAAAGAGAAACATGTTAAAAAGAAACAGAAAAAGAAATAACAATGTACTTTTTGTGGTTTTACCTCTATGTGTTATTGCTTTTGGTCATTCATTCTGTAAGCATATTTCTACTTTGTACACACACGTATTTTGAAATCAAAGAAAAGAATAAGTCTGAAGATTGGTGTTTTTGCTTCCATGTCTTGTTTCATTTTGTTTACTGGTTTAATAAGTGGGTATTTGTGAAGAGGCAACAGCTTGTTGCCTGCCTGCCTGACTGGCTTCAACGTAGAACTTTTCAACGATGTGCAGTAGTTTGAGTCGCCACACTACACTTAGCACACAAAGGCAGAGAAGAAGAAGAAGAAAGTAAAAAGGAATGCAAAATAGAGACGGTAAACACAGATATAAGGCAAAAAGAATAGTAATATCAAAAAACGATATAGTTTCATTGGGTATTATAAGTCACAAAAAGTGGATGCATCTGCGCCAGTCATTGAGAACGATTTTGAGTCAATCATATCACCAATTGTCTGCAGCCGTCATTGGATCTTACCATCCTGTAGACCCCAACCAGGAAATCTACATCTTCCTACGTGTCTGGCATAAATTAACTGTTGTGGATTTTATTGACTGATGAAGTCATGCTTTTGTTTGACCACCACTGGTTCTTCCCTAACCCGATCCTTTGTCAGCTAACATTGCCCGTCGAGGGAGACGATGACTTGTGATGCATGCGTAGCCCATGTCGTAACCATTTCAATCGATGTAACTTCGCAGCTTCGTCTATTCATTTCCCCTCTTTGCCTAGCACTCGACCGATGCCTAACCTCAATATTGATCAACACATTATATCATTTCAGATGGGAGATAGAACACAGGCTCCTATTATCAAACACATCTGACCTTTTCATGCCTTTTACTCTCAATGGCCAGGTCTCACAGCCATAGAGGAATTTTATTCATCGTGTTTTAATTACACGGTACAATGCTCGCCAACCATCCTATATAGTCCAGGGTTCGACCCCCAGTCGACGCAAATCTAAATATCGCTTGGTCGATAGTAAGATCAGTAAAGACGGAAAGTTGGTTAGGCATGAGGCTAGTGATCTCATCTCGTTGACTTAAAACCATTGCTGCTGAAACTTCAAACTCAAGCTTGAAGTCATCCAGGACATGTGTTACGTGTGTTTTTAGCCATCGTCTTCGTCAACGGGGAATGTTGGCTGTTGATATAGGATCAGGTTGCGAAAGAGCTAGTGGTGGTCAAAGCAAAATATGGTATCATCAGTTAATGAAATCCATAACAGTTAGTTTCAGCCAGCCACTTAGGGAGGTGGAGACTTCCTAGTTGGAGTCCACGGGATGGTGAGAACCAATGAAGGTTGGAGGCATTTGGTGGTGATATGGCTCAAAGTCATTCTCGGTGATGACTGGCGCAGATGCATTCACTCTGTGTGATTTGTCATATCCAATAAAACTCTATTCTTTTTCACCTCACTCACACTTCTGTTTATTAACTGTCTTTTGAATCTGTTTGTACTGTTTTCTTTCGCTTTGTGCGCTACATGGAATGGAGAGTAGCAACTCGAACTGGTGCTTATATGTGCAAAGCTGTATGTTGAAACCAGTCAGGCAGTCAGTGAAGCCAGTCGTATGTTACAACTGGAACGCAATAGAATGAAATAAAATAAAATGGGAAGAATTTTCGACAACTTTAATGATTATTTATAATCAGTATGGAATTGGTTCATATAGATAAAACAATTAAGTAGCTAAGCTGGTGAACTGCTTTCACAAAAAGCTTAGTTAATAGATCTTATTTTTTATGAGGAACATCTTTTTACTGCTATTTTCATTCTTGAAGATAGGTGTATTCCCTCTCGAATGGCAGTGATGACAGCGACCGTAATGGCTGATTATTTGGCCATATGGCTATTACTGTCTGTTTATTCACTGGTAACTTCTCTTAATATTTTATCATCACCCATAGAGAACCTGGTACGGCCAGGTTTTCGTAGCATCTACCTGGTAAATTCTATTAGTGCAGTTGGGTTGTTCCTCATATTTAGCACTTACAACCAGACTGGTGGACATGCGAGTCCAACTAGGAGAGCTGGATGACCCTGGTTTCAAACGTACGGTGTATACATGGACTCCAGAATTCGTACGGATTGAGTAGCTTATGAAACTGTTTGAGTTACTGGCAGTCATGGGAAGGCAACTCTTGATGCTACTCCCGCTGCCTTGTGTATCAAATTTCATGTCAAAGGCTTGATAAGGGGATGTTCCCTTAAGGAAACCACCTGTCTCGATCTGGGCAGTATCCCAGCCCTCGCACCAACTATGCGGTTTTGTGTGGCGCATCTCCTAAACACAGTGTCGTAATTCTGTTACTTTCAGCATTACTTATCTTCAGTATTCTGCAATCCCGGCGGTGTTTTGCTTATTGAAAGCTTTTTTAATGTTGGAGAGGATAATTACAAACCTCGCTTAGCCGATAGTAAGGCCGATAAAGAGGGAAGGTTAGGCACTAGCCTGTCAACATCACCCCGTGAAAAACACCACTTCTATTAAAACTTCAAAGCTCGTGCTCGAAGGGGAGGAAGGGATGAATTCTGTATCATGCACAAATGAAACTATCCAATCTGAAGATCTCTTGGAGAAGTGATAGACATTACCAAATACAAAACCTTTGCTGTTTTTGTCTCACCAAAGGCTTACTGACAAGGACAGTTAACCTCTATCTCACGGAGACTCACATTTTCGTAGAAAGAGTTGCAATGAAGGCGACACGTATGATTCCTACGACCATCAGTTCATCACTCAAGGAAAGACTTCATAGTTTAAATCTCTTCTGTTTATCATATTGTGCTCAGAGAGAGAGAGAGATCTAATCCCTATTTTCGAAATTCTAAGAAAAATGACTGGGAACCTAATCTCTCCTCTTTTATTCCTTTCCACTAGATCAGAAAATCACAGTGGACATAGCTGAAGGGTTTATAAGTGAAGGACAAAGTATATCACTCTCGAGTACTGGTTCTTCTATTAAATCATTAACTCATAAAGAGGCGGTTTCTGTGATTTCAATCGAGTCGTTGGAGAAGGGATGAGAGAAAATGAGATAGGCATTCGAAAGACATTGTCACGGACTTTAGGTCTTTTGTTCTCAGCATAAAATTAGAAACTTACATGGTACTGTCGCGTTATTGATTTCTAATTTGGAAGTCCTGTTACGTATAGAGTACACTTTGTGTTATCTATGCAGCTATGAAAGTAAGGAAACTAAACATTTTTCAATGGAAGTTGAGTATACATTGGAATTTTGGGAAATTTATTTATGCATTCAATAATTGCATCAATCTTGATAATAACCACATAAACTGCAAGTAGCCTAATTAATTTTCAAACGTGAAATGTTCTGAAGTGATAAATTTCTGGAAGTTTTGGTTACACCATATCGACCGTTTTTACTTCATGAATGCCTTCAGCCATCAGTTGCTTTCATTCCTTTGTGTTCTGTATGGAACATAGGGCTTCGAGTTTGAAAATTCATTGGCGGTGATGTTTCTTTCACGGGTTTAGGTTGTTAGCCTCACGCGCAACCTCCCCTGTTTACCGGGTTTGCTACCTGCTAAACGAGGTGTAGGACTGCGGCAGCCGGGAGCTGAACTCGGACGCTGTTCACAGTTGGCGAGTATTCTACCATTGGACTATCAGTAGACTAGATAAATTAATTCGAGCTAGTTAGTGGGATGAAAAGCATGTGAATTCTAACAATTTAGTAACACATCTACTTGTCAGTTCAGTTTATATGAAGAAAGATCAAATAGGAACGTCATATTGTGTCGAGTGCTACTGATTTGGTTTATCAGTAGTATATAAAGAGACATATATCGGCATAGAAAACATCAAATAGCAGGGAGATACATTTGACAAGTCTTTCGTTTTCTAACCTTACAATATGTAGTAGTATGGGATTTAAGAGTATTGGAAGAGGTTAAGTGTAACATAAGTGGTTTTCGCGCGCACATGCACACATTGGAGACGTAATTTTACTTATGACTGTCTCCTTGCCACATCTTATTGTGGATGTCTGTAGGTTTTTGTATTATAATCGTGAAAGCTGTTTTGACATCATTCTTATGATTTGTGTCAATCATATGCTTTGTTATCGACGAAACTTGCCTATGTAATTATCGAGGATTTCGAAGTTCAACTGTTTTTTCAAATCCTTTAAATGTCATCCCGGATAATTGTACTCGTAAAGTGCGACTACTCCTATCTATAAGATAAACAATATTGCATGTTACAGGGATTTGATTTGTTATGGGTTTGGTCACGAGTTGACATAAGTTAGAGAACCTTTGGAAATCTAGCAGGGAGCACTTGACAGCTGCTTTGTCCTTGTCTGAGATTCTTCAGCAGCAGGTTTGATCAAACCTGTACCCAATCAAATCCCGGCAAACCAACACTTGAAAATTAACCTTACGCTCACTAGCGACTACCTCTATGCAGGAAGTTACCTGGGTTTCTAGTGAGAATTCGTAACCACTGGTGCCCACCAAGTCAGACAAGAGGACAGCAAGTCACTATATATCGCGAATCGGTAGAAGTTAGAGTTCATGGACAACTGGATCAGGTCCCAGTGTCTGAATGGTTAGCGAACTCGCCTTGTGACCGGAACGTTTTGGGTTCGAATCCCAGTGGGTGTATACCGTTGAAGAGTCCCAAATTATGGAGAAGCATATGTTCAGTAATCCATAGTTCACCAAAGGTTTTCTACTTGATGTTGGCTCGTGATCAAACTTATAACACTGTACGTGACGTAATCACTTGTGCAGTGTTTAAAAAGTTTGTGCTAAAACATGTTATTTATTTGACGTTTTGAGTAACGTTAAGACAGGCTGCATGGTAATTTTTAAGCATGACAGATTTTAGGTGAGAAAAAAAATAACATTTTGAATCTGCAACACTTGAAAACACTGGAAAAACCTCCGTAAGATATCTGACACAATTATCCTAAAATCTGACAAATAATCGGGTGTAGTTATTATTCCCTTGGGCTTCAACAACACATCTCAACTTTCTTCTATTCTCTGCCGTCCTCTTCAGCTGGGTGGCCCCACGATTGCCCATAATTTCTCCTCTCCTCCGGCTCACATGATCTCCTCCATGT